AGACGTAAACCAGGTCGCACAGATGTATCGTTGAGATAATTGTGACTTTAAAGCCATGTGGAGTCAATCTGCATTTCATTTTTTCTTCTGCTATTTGTTAGAATGTCCATATTAATAACTTCCCTTCATGTGTTATTTCACAAAGGGGAGTGAAATAATCTGCGTGGCTCTTATTCACACTAACAAGTCGCCATATTGTGAACATGCTTTATTTACACTGATGTAAAAACATGTTTTTGTTTTTTTTTTTAAACTGTGATTTAAAGATGCCAAACTAATTATACAAATTAAGAAAGAGATGTCAGTTTAATATAAACCTAATAGTGCTGTCCTGTGGGTTTCTACGGATGGTTACAGGTGTTTTTATCGTAATCTATAGGACAGACGACATGGCTTCTGTGCGTCTGGTTTATTGTCGGTTCATCAGTTTCATTGTTCCATCCTGCTGATGTCCTCTGTCTAATAACTATCTGACAGTAAATATCTGGTTCTTGATCCCATGTTTGACTACAAGTCTGATTCATTTGATTCACACCTTTTGTCGTTTCAGTAAACAGTAATGGTAATTAATTTGTTGATATGTACTGTATATTATTATTTATTTGTTGTTTTGGTAGTTCCGTTATTAACAGCTCGGTTTCACTTACCTTTCTACTTATATATATTTTTTTTATTATATTTTTAGGACAGTACAAGGGTAGATAGAAAGGGGTCTTCGAATCGGGACTCGAACTCGGGTCGCCCGAGATGATGCAGCTCCACTTCAAATTTGACTTTACTCCGTAAAAGTGAATGAATGTAGACGTTCAGAATAAAGTTATTTTTGTGTAAATAAAATGTAATACTATTATTTTATATAAACTTTAAATAGAATATTCCATGCACTGACTACGCGTTGGATCAAATATCGCGATAGTTGAACACGTACCTCAGGTCAGTTGAGCGTGGTCATAGACATATTATGCCTATGAGCGTGGTAACCTAAAGAATGTGAATACGTTAAGTTCTCTTTTCCTACGAACTATTTGTAAAATGTCCATATTTACTAAATTTGTAGTGAGGTCAGCCTGCTTTACTCGCAAATCATCTTAAAATCACAAGCATGTTAGACGCAGTCCAGTACCTCAGTCAGTCAAATGTGTAATAGCTATTAGCAAACCGTTAACAGTGCATGTTAACAGTTTCAGTACAAACCTTGTTTCCTAAATGGTCTTCTCGTCACCCCAGAAATACAGTTTTTTTTTTTTTACTGTCATTATTAGTACCACCCACTCACCATTCCATTATTACATTTTAAAGCTGTTTGGTTGCTTAATTATTGACACAATAAGTAACTAACGGATGTGACTATTATTCTTATAAATTAACATCAGATTACTTTATTGACCATACCCATATTTTTCATATTTTCTACTACGTTCTAGTCTCAACTCAAACCACATTACCCCAATCTATATATATATATATATATATATATATATATATATATAGCCCTCCACGTGACCAACATGGTGGTGCCTGATGGAAGGCAGAAGCTTTATATCCATGGACTGAAGCTTTGTAGAGAAGAGCCAGTTTCCCATTCCCCAGCAAAGCACGGAGCCGCTTACTTTTCTCTTCTGTTAAATCAGAAGTGAGGGACTCCATGGTACCATCTCTCACTTGCATTTTTTGCCTTGAAGACAAAAACATGCAAATACAAATATAAACTTGAGCTTCATCCACAAACGGTACGCTTTTGTGTCCTATTATTCTTTTTTTAATGCAGTGTTTGTGCTCACTGCATTAATCAAGCTAATTTCTATTACAGGAAAAAAAGACAAAATAAATCTTTTTCTTTAATTTATGAGCAATATAAAGTACAATATACAAGACCAACATTTTCTGAAGGTTACATTCTTTAAGTGACCATTTGTAAAAGACTCACTTTTCCTCTGTGACTTGTGTATTTGTTTATTGCTTGTTTGATTCTCTAAGGCTCAGTTAAGTTTTATTTTTTTGTACTTACATTTATTTAAAGCTTGCTTTCATTGTTTCTGTGAACTGCCTCTGCACAAAGAGTTATATGAATTGGCAGATCAAAATACATTCAAATAACAATAACAAACAATTAGAATTTGCATGTAATATTTAATGCTCTTATAATATGCATATGTACCTTTCGCAGAGCACTTGCTGTGAAAATGCTTCACTTGTTCTTTGAATGTTACACCCAAGACAAACCTGTTCTGTCAAGTTCCTTCATTCCTGTGATACAGGAACATTTTGAGCATTAAAATTGATCAACTGTCAAATTAGAGATGTCTTCGAGTTCGAGGGGGGCAAACCGAGCCGGACGATTTAGTCAGTCGCACTTTTAAACACATTTTAGTAGTTTTGCTATCCACCTTTTTCTTCAACGCCGAAGTAAGCCTATGGGCGAGACTTCCGGTTCATTAGCCGCTATAGGTAAATAACGAGGAGAATAATAACAACGTGCAACCAGTGTGTTCATAATTAAGATAATACATTAAAATAATATGATAAGACACACCAACTTTCAATATCAAGCAGCAAAACGAACTGTTTTGTTCAGCTAAAAATAGCTGTACGGAGTGGACGCAGATGAGACCGGAAGCCAGACCCATAGAATTTACAAATGGCCACGCCCATTTTTACGACAAGAAAATGGTGGATAGAAAATCTACAAATTCATACTCTAGCCTTGTCCAAATACCCACACTTGCGGTCTTTGCACTTGACCACTTGACTACTTATATGCAAAAAATACTTTAGCTGGGTTTCTACAGGTAGGGTCACAATTATCTACAGTGTATGAAGCTAAAGGTTTTTGGGTTAAGGTTCATAATGTAGAAAATTTTTAACATTGTATGCTGTATGTGCATAGGTAGCTAGCAAACAAGGAATACAGCTGTTAAGCTAATAGTCACATTTCTATGTCCATAAAACAGGTTCTGAATGAATTATGTTACTGATACCTAATGGCCAAAAGCAATAGCAAAAGTAAGCTAATAGGTCAATATTATTAAATTGCAGACAAAGATTTTGAGTAGCTAGGTTGGCTTGTACACTTGTACACCCCCTTCTAATGAACAGGTTTGACTACTTTAGTAATTTCAAATTTTTAGTAAAAAAGCATATAATGCTATTCTAGGGAATTGTGTGCTTCTAATTTTAGTTTGATATATAGTTTTGAACAGGACCATTTTCTATTCTAACACAGCAATGCCTCTGCGTATAAGGCAAGGTTAAAAAAAAAAAGACTGATTCAGTCAGTGTGGAAGAACTTGACTGGTCTGCACAAAGCCAGGTCCTAATCCCAGCTGAACACCTCTGCTGTGACTTTAAATCCAGACCTTGAGCCAAAAACTCATCACCAAACACCTGTGACTTGTACACACATATGGACAAATGTATTGGGACACCCCTTCTTTAGAACAGAAACAGGCACTTCCAAAACTGTGGCATCAAAGATGGAAACATAATTCATGTATTTAAAAATTGTATTTCCATCTTTGTTGTCACAGTTTGGGAAGTATCTAAAATTATTGTAGGCATATATACAAGTCATTGGTGTTTGACGATGAGTTTTATTGAGTTTTCCCAATACTTTGGGCAATATAGTGTATGTTTGGTGTGGTACGGGCCCAACCTCATATTCTTTCATAGGGCCCAAAATTGCTAGCGGCACCCCTGCTCCAGGGTGATCCAGTTCAAGAGCCAAATAACACATTGTCATAATATTTAATTGCAGAATTGATTTTAATAATGTTTACTTTTAAATGTAAGGAATAACTAATTCCAAAATGGATTTTTCCCATGGAAAGGTCTGCATTTCTTTTAGAACAGTGTGACAGTTCTAATTTGTAATATTGATCTTACAGCATTTTCGCAATAAAGCCACAATAAATAAATGCAATATAAGTAATACACCAATTTTCTGGCTTAAGATACATTATCATGCAGAGATGGAAGCTAAGCCACCTATATCCTATTCAAAGACAATGTAATATTATGGACGCATCTCAGCAAAGCATTTTAAAAAACATTGCCCTCCACATGACCAGCATCATCCAGATAGTCGTCTGCGAAGTTGAGCATCTGCTGTAGAGCGGTGAGCAGCAGGACGTCACAGTTGAGCTCCAGCTCCAGCTCCTGACTGTAGTTCTTCACCGGTAACACACAAGACACCGGCACACCCAACCGAGAGCTCACCTCCTGCACCTGCAGACACAAAACAACACCTCACTCACTCTGAGTCCTGTAGCAACAGACCATCTGATCATGTGACCGCGTCTCACCTTCGACTTGATGTAGGAACTGACATAAAGGCTTTGAAGATTTTCCTCCACTAGAGGACATGCTTCATCTACTTTTGTCATCAAGACGATCTGAGCGATGCCTGAAATTACACATTTTTAGGTAAGTTGTGTGCAACTCTATCAGGTAGATCAATGTACAGCCTACTTAGTAGTCATAAGGTGTATGTTCTCTTACCCAGTGAGTTCACTTTTCTGCGTATGGAAGCAAGTTTTTCCTGTAGTTTATCAGATATGAGGGAGATTTTGGTGGCGTCTATCACATACACCACACAGTGGATCTTCTCCTGAAGAGATGCAGGTCTGGAGGCCTTTTGCTCATCAGGTTGAAACGGTGCTGTGGTGTTAAACTAAATAGAGGGGATTTAGCATGAAGCAAACCATTTCTACTTCAACCTTCATTCATTTTGGAGATGAGTGCTCTTACTTTATAGCGGTCTGGTACGTGACCTTGAAGAATGCTGCTGATGTCCTCAATATCCAGTCCTGCACCTGATTGCTCCTCGAGTCCCATGGTGTC